CCCACACTGTTTGGACACTGAGGGATGAAACTTCCTACCTACCTCCCCTCACACAATTTTTGTTGTTAGTTGCTGGTGACCCCAAGTGTTACTATTATTATCAGAACTTCATTATTGTTTTTGTTGTTGTTGTCGTTGTTGGGTGCTGCGGTCTTCATTGCCACTCACAGCAGGCCAAAGCTTGACCACTGCACCTCCAGGATTCCTTGTAGGCTTTATTTTAAAATCGAACCAAACTCACTGCCATCCACTCCATTCAGAGTCCTAGCGATGCTAGAGGTCAGAGCAGAACTGCTCCATACTGTATCCAAGGCTGTAGGCATTTGACTGCTAACGAGAAAGTCAGTGGTTCAAACCCGCCAGCCACTGCGCAGAAGGAATATGGGACAATCTACTTCAGAAAAGATTTACAGCCTCAGAAACCCCATAGGGGTCTCTATGAGTCAAAATCGACTCGATGGCAGTGGATTTGGTTTGATTTTTAAAAAATCTTTATGGAAGCAGACTACCTCATCTTTGTCCCACAGGACAGCTGGTGGGTTCAAAGTGCCAACCTTTTGGTTAGCAGCGGAATGGTTTAACCACTGCTGCCTATCAGTAGGCAGTTTGCCTCAAAAAAATCCTCACTGTTTTCATCCATCCTAGATTGACCCTTACCCAATCCTAATGAGACCCCCTCCCTCATGAATGACTCACCTTAAACCAAATTTCAATGCTCAATAAATTCTGACCTTGGCTTTTCAACTGCAAAACATTGCCAAAGCTCTGTCCAAGTGGTGGTCTCCCTTATGGTGATAAACTGTTGTTGTTGTTGTTATGTGCCCTGGAGTAAGACCCAACTCATAGCGACCCCTCCTTGGGTTTCCGAGGCAGTATCACTATGGAAGTAGATTGCCCCATCTTCCTTCCCAGGAGTGATAAACTATGTATGAACTCCGTTTGTGTCTTATCAATAAGTTGCATTAGTAATGTTTTGGGAGCAGGCACTGGATACAAGTTGGAGATTCAGTGTTCCTCACGTTGGGTGTCACTTGCAGCCTCAGCCACTTTTGTTGTTGTTAACTGCCTTGGAGTTGGCTCCCACTCACAGGACACTATGTACAACAGAAGGAAACACTGCCCGGTCCTGTGCAGGCCTCACAATCCTTGCTATACCTGAGCCCATCATTGCAGCCACTGTGTCATTCCATCTCGTTGAGGGCCTTCCCCTTTTTTTTCTCCTTCCCTGGCGAAGGATATCAAACCACTTTTAGGTTCTCCTTTTTTAATTTGGGGCGCTCTAGTGCAGTGCCTAAGGCATTTGACTGCTAACCAAAAAGTTGGAGGTTCAAACTCACCAGCCACTCCGTGGAAGGAAGACTGGGCAATCTACTTCCCTAAAGATTTACCGCCTGAGAAACCCAAAGGGGGTCACTATGAGTCGGAGTAGACTTGATGGCAGTGAGTTTGGTGGGTTCTTTTTTTTTTAATCTTAAGCTTTACTTCCCCTAAAAAAAAAAAAAAACTTAGCTTTTAATTTATTTTCATAGTGCAAGTTTCGTTTTTTCTTGATATTCATAATTATTTTCCCATTATCTTTTATAAATATTTTCCCATTATCTTTAACAAATGAATAAAGCAAAATGGAACCAGAGTGATTCAAACCGAATCCGCTTTACCCAAAACAGAGCGCAGCAGGCTAGAAACGCTGGCCTACAGAGGATTCTGGGAAGTGTAGTGTCCAGGAGGTAGGAGAAATTTGTGGCGCTTCTTCTTAGGGATTCTGGGAAATGTAGTTCAGGAGCTGTGTGTAATCGGAGCACTTCCGCTCCAGGAAGGCGAGGTCGGGGCGGTGATTGCTCCCTGGGAGGTGAGTCAGCCAGGCGCCCCGCGACCCTTCCCAGCCCTCTCGCCTTAGGCATGGGGCCAGCGGTGACCTGGCCCTCGGCCTCGGGGAAGAGTAGCTGCAGCCAACGGCAGAGAACGGGATTAAGAGGCTGAGGCGGCAGTTTGCGCCCCCTTGTTGGAGCTTTCCGTTTGGGGACAAGCTCGCGTCCTGCCTCGGGTTTGAGGGTCTCCCGCGCTCTCCGCGCCTTAACCTGCCTCCCAGCCTACCAGCCACCTCTGCCTCTTCCTCGTGGTAAACTATTGGGCGATTTACTTAATTTCTCCTTTCCTCAGTTTCCTCTTGGCGAAGAAGGATTTGTGCCTTCTAAATAGTGTTCTTGTGAGATTTTAACGAGATCGTACAGTCTCTGTAAAGAGCTGAAAGCGGTGTTTAGTATGTGGTCAAACGTTGGCTGCTATACTTCACATTCCTTCGTGATCCTCAGCGAGGCGCCCGGTGGCTGGGACTCTACTTCGAGACCTGGAGGCGCCACCCGTCCTCTTTTCTGGTCCCTGCCCGACCCGGGGCTGTGCCTGGATTCCCCGACTCCTGACCCCTTGTTTAGGGAGAGGATTCTCTCCCGCTGGATGTGAGGACTGCCCTCTGGTTTGTCTCAAACAGAGACACAGTCGTGGTCAGCTCTGCCGAGTACCTGACATATGGTGAGGGCTTCTCAGGTGCTCAGTGTTATTGCCAGTAGCCCCGTGTCGTTCATTTCAATGTGACACGATTTCTTAGGGTCTTAGGTTTTTATTAGTCATTATTTACCTTCATGCAGGTGGGTCACTATGAGTCGGGACCCACTGGATGGCAGTGGGTGGGTTAAGGAGAGGCTTTGTTAACTGTCTGCCAGCTTAATACAATTTGCAACTGATTATAACCAGTGTGTGTGGGGGGACCCTGACAATTCAATTATCATGACAAAAGGAACAAATTACAGTGGAACCTGTAAGAGCTGGAATACCACCAACTTGACCCTCTTTGGGTTTCCAAGGTGGTAAATCTTTATTGAAGTAGATTGCCCAGTCTTCCTTCCACAGAGTGGACTTTTTTGAGGGTTGGTAACACAATTATTTCTGAATCCTGAGTTTCTTAAAAGATTGCTTTTCTGGAAAGCACATTTGCGAGGACAGTTTTATGAAGCATAATGTTCTGAGGTGCCCTTGACCGGCTCCGACTCATAGTGACTTGTGTCAAACAGAACAAAACAGTCCTGCACCATCCTCACAGTCCTTGCTGCCCTTGAGCACATTGTTGCAGCCACGGTGTCAGTCCATCGTATTGAGGGTCTTCCTCTTCTTTGCTGACCCTCCACTTTACCAAGCGTGATGTCATTCTCTAGGAACTGGCCCCTTCCTGATCATGACCAAAGTATGGGAGATGAAGTCTTGTCATCCTCCTTCTAAGGAGTATCCAGCCACTTCTTCCAGAACAGATTTGTGCGTTCTTCCAGGAGTTGTTGGTTGCCATCAAGTTGGCTCTGACTCCTGGCTACCCACGTACAATGGACGAAAGGAAACGTTGCCCCAACTTGTGCTATTTTTAGGATCCTTGGTATGTTCAAGTCCATTGTTGCAGCCATTGTGCATTTTGAGTGCCTGCCAATAGGGGATTCATCTTCCAGCACTAAATCGGACAATATTGTGATCCATAATGTTCTCGTTGGCTAATTTTCAGAAGTAGATTGCCAGGCATTTCTTCCTCATCTGTTTCAGTCTGGAAGCTCTGTGAAAGCTGTCCATCATGGGTGACTGTTGTTGTTTGAAATACTGATGGCATAGCTTCCGGCATCACAGCAACCTGCAAACCACTACAGTACAACAGACTGACAGACGGATGGTGAATAAAGCCTAATAGCAGCTACTGGGTTGCCGAGGCGGTATCATTACGCAAGTAGATTGCCCAGCCTTCCTTCCGAGGAGTGGCTGGTGGGTTTGAACCGCCAGCCTTCTGGTTAGCAGTCAAGTACTTTAGGCACTACGCCACCAGAGCTTCCTTCTGTCTTTATTTGAACCTGGAAAGGAGCTCTGGTAATGTAGTGGGTAAGGCATTTATTTGGCTACTGACCAGAAGGTCGGTGGTTCAAACTCACCAACTGCTCTGCAGAAGGAAGATGGGGTGATCTACTTCTGCAAAGATTGACAGCCTCGGAAACCCAATCGGGGTCACTGTGAGTCAGAAGTGATTCGATGGCAGTGAGTTTGGTTTGGTTTTGGTTTATCTGAACCTGAATGATGAGTAAGGAAGACTGAAGAAAAATTGATACATTTGAATTAGGATTTTGATGAAGAATATTTCATACACCATGGACTGCCAGAACAAACAAATCTGTCTTGGAAGGTGTACAGACAGACAGCTCCTTAGAGGCAAGGATGGCGAAACTTTGTCTTGTGTCATTTGGACACGTCATCAGGAGGGACCAGTCCCTGGAGAGGGACAGCATGCTTGGTAAAGTGCAGGGTCCGTGAAAAAAAAAAACAAGGAAGACCTCAACAAGATGACTGACACAGTGGTTGCAACAATGGGCTCAGGCATAGCTACAATTGTGAGGATGGCACAGAATCAGGGAGTATTTCATTCTGTTGTACGTAGGGTCCTTGTGAATCAGATCCCACTCGATAGCCCCAAAAACAGCAATAACAACATCTGAAGCTGTAGGAAATAGGGGATCCAGGCGTTATTATCCCTAATTTACAAGTGACTGAATTGTGGCCCAGAGAGGTTAATAACTTGCTCAAGATGACCCTGTTAGTAAGTAGAAAATAATAAGTAGGAGTGTTAGAAGTTACATCCAGGCATTTTTGTCCCGATATGTTACACCGCCTGTCTGACTCTCATCTCCTCTGCAGTCCAGATGTGGGAGGAGTACCCTGGAACCTATGAGAAGCATTTGGGTTTGGGCTGTTGTGTGCAAAGACATCTGGCTGATGGAGCTCAGTGGTAGCTAGAGTCCAGCCCCTGTTCTCTCTAAGCTGTGGGTAGCTGTATGTGCCCAGAGAAAGGGGACTTCTTTCTGTTCCCATCAAGTGCCATTTGGACTAGCAGTGTCCCTAGTATAACACATATGCTGTCTTTCCCTTTCGCAGTGCCACCTTCCCAGAACTCTGGCTTTCCCTAGGAGGAAAAGAGAAAAATGACTAAGCTGCAGGTACGTTGGATTTGCCAGTTTCTTAAAATGACATCTCGTTTCACAGAGATCGGATGCAGTTTTCTCCTGCTTGGGAAGGATAAACAGTTTCGAAAGGGGTTTGAGGGATTGTTACATGCCAGGCCCTTGGATTTGTTTATTTGCCAAAAAACCAACACCAAACAAAAACAAACCAGGTGTGTGGAGTCGATTCCAACTCATGGTGACCCCATGTGTGTCAGAGTAGAACTGTACTCCATGTTGTTGTTGCTATGTGCTGCTGAGTTGACCCCGACTCATAGCGACCGCTCCTTGGGTTTCCTAGGCAGTATCACTGTGGAAGTAGATTGCCCAACCTTCCTTCCGGGGAATGGCTTGAACCGCCATCCTTCTGGTTAGCAGGCAAGTGCCTTAGGGACTATGCTCCCAGAGGGTTGTCAGAGACTGGTTTTTCAGAATAAGGTCACCAGGTCTTTCTTCCAGGGCATCTCTAGGTGGACTCAAACCTCCAGCCATTTGATTAGTGTCTGAACACATTAACCATTCGCACCCCAGAACGCAGTTTGCAAAAAGTAGTATAAAAACTGAATCAAACTATGGAAAAGTGAAAAACAGCTCCCACATACATTATCAACATGCTTAGCAATCAGTTGTTTTCATTTTCCCACATTCCTTTTTATTTATAAGTCTATATTTGTATTTACAAGTTTATGTTTATAATCAGGATTTTGAATTTTTTAAGTTTATTTTTATATTCTCTACATGTTAAGTGACCACATCATTTTTCATAGTTTACCTAATTTTATTTTTCCCTATTCAAAGACATTTCTGTGTGGTGTTTTTTTTTTTTTTAAATCACAATTTTAAAGAACTTTGCAGTGATAATTTTCCAGTCAAAAATTCTAATTCTGAGAATTCTGCTGTATTCCCCCTTTTAAGTTCTTGGGACTCAGTTATTTTCTCATCTTTGGTACCATGTATTTTGTGGAAAAAAACACAAAATATGGTTTTATGCAGGAGGGTCCGACTGATACTGAACTCACAGAAAATCTTTTTAGTTGTTTTCAAAGAAGAGCTAGAGTCTTCCTTTAATTCTAAACTAAACCACATGCCTGCTGTAGTTAAGTATCTATTGTAGTCATTAATGTGTTACTATATTTTAACTAAATTCTTACTTAGTTTTAAGGCAAATAGCGCAAAGACACTTCCCAGACATGTACTCCATTGAGCAGCTGTATGAGGATGTCTTATCTGCTTTTAAACATAAAGAAAAAGATTTGTGAGCCTGCAGACACTTCCAGAAGTCTTATCAGTGTTCAGTTGACACTAACGTTTTATTGCCCAAGCCATAGGTTTGAGGTGTTCCATTCGGATGAGAGGAGACCCTGAAGGAAAGAGTTCTCCATTCAGGATCCATGGCCACGTTGTGCATGGGCCTCCTTTTCTTAGAGATGCGGAATTCCAAGAACACTGCCCTTCACTGGTTCACTTTCTCAGTGCCCATCCCTACTTCATCAGATCAACTAGTCATACAGCACAGAGATACTCCGTGCTCCAGCTAAAATCAATATAGACATGAGCAGTCTTCAGATAAAATTTCTTAATTTATGTACACAAAACTATGAGACAAATAGGAAATGGTGGAGGAAGGAGCAATAGATTATATATGAGCAGTGTAGTAAATTACTTAGTGTGGCTTTTCTAGCCATAAGTCTTTGTAAACTCTGTGGTGGAATTTGCTGTGAGCAACTGAGGAGCTTCTGATTGTAAAAGTTATCTACCTGGGGTATTTCTGTTGGGCTCAACACAAAGCAGTGTCCTAGGAGGTTCCTGCTCTCTCTCAGCTGCTTAGAATTCTGATGTTATGATTGGTTAGTTTGGCCACTCTGCCAGGCTCAAAAGGAGCCCTCCTAGAGGCAGAAGCAGTCTCTCCCTGACTGCTGGCTGAGAAAGATGTGCTGCTGAAAGAGACATGCACTTCTGAAAGAGACATGCGCTGCTGGGAAAGAGACGCAAGAGACATGCATTACTGCGTGAGACACTGAGGGACACGCACTGCTGGGGGAGAGACTGTGAGAGACTTGGCTGAGAGACGGTGGGCTGGGAGAGAGACTGAGCGTTTTTCTTGAACTTGGATTGTAGCCTGGTGCTTCCCTAATAAACCCCATAATCTGTGAGCTCTGTGTGGCCACTGCAGTGAATTGTTGAACTCAGGAGAGAGGTGGTGGGTGCTTTGGGAGGAACGGTTGGAGAAAGGGCTGGAGGGAGGCAGCATGTCTGGCCTTGGGACTAGGCCTTGGCCTATTGTTGGTGATTCTGTCTTCCTCTTGTGGGATTAGAGGAGGTCAGAACATGTGGCCTTCCTGCCTTTTTAGCAATATGGTAGAAAAAGGCTTAATATTTTCAATAAGAATCTTACTGATACATGTCGTTGTTGTTAATTGCTGGCAAGTCGATTATGACTCATGGTGACCCCATGTGCAGGGTAGAAGCCTCCGTAGGGTTTTCTTGGCTGTAATCTTAACAGAAGGAAATTGGTAGGTTTTTCCCCAATACTGCTGGTGGTTTAGACCCCTAGCTTTTAGATTAGCAGTCGAGCATAAACGGGTTATGCCATGTAGAGAACCCTTCCTGAGGCATAAGATACCCCAATAGGTTTATGAGGAAAGGAAATGAACAGTGTGTGAAAATATATATATAGCAGTAGATGCCCCTTAAAAATACATTTAGTGGACATTTTTTTACAAAGAGCTCTTTTTACTCCTTGTCAAATGACCCCAAATTTTAAAAATTGGATAATGTCCAGTTGGGGACAGAACGTAGAGAATCAAAGACACTTATTATGTCTTCCAGGAAGAGATATTTGGGAAGATTACCATTATACTAGCAAAATTATAAAAGTATTTATTTTTTGACAATGCAGTTATTTCTCATGGGAATTTATCTGTGGTGCATTGAATTGCTTGGTGGGGCCCTTCTAGCCATGGTCTTTGTGACTCCCACCAGACAACTAACTGGGTGGGACTGTGCAGATAAGAGGTACTTGTGGCCCACTGAGGGGATTGGATAGTTTGGTGATAATGTAAATAAGGTGCATGGTACCCTTGTCTGGGTGGGACCATGTAAATAAGGTATATGGAACCCTCGCATGGGGATTGGTCAGTTTTGCCATCTCACTAGGCTTACAATGAGCCATCCCAGAGGCAAAAAGGGCAGCTCACTAACATCAAGTAAGAAGAGCCAGGAGTGGAGCATGTCTTTTGGACCAGAGATCCCCACAGTGAACCTCCTCAATCCAGGAGACAGAGAGCTGTGACACCAGAGACAGTGAGAGATGATGGGAGGCAGAAGAACCCAGAGACTGGCACGAGACAGAGCGGTGGTCTTCTTGACCTATGGAGTGAGAAAGCTTGTGGGCAGAGTGGGGTGCCTTTGTTGGCATCTATCTTCAGAACTAAAAGAGTTTTGTAATACTTGCCTAAGCAAGACAGAGGCCAAGGAGCTACATGGCCAAGAGGCTGAGGGCCAGACAGAAGCATGCCTGTGGCACAGCTGAGAAGCAGCTGTCCTGATTGGAGAACTGTATCTTGAGTCATTTCTGATCCTGAATTGTGAACTGTTACTCCCCCAAGAAACCCTCTAATCCTGAGTATTTTCTGTGAGTTCTGTGTGGCCATTGCCACCGATCATTGAACCCAGCAGAGAAGTAGAGAGTGCTATGGGAGGGATGGTTAGTATCAGCTTTGGTAAGAAGATTGGAGGGTGGAGGTGTCTGATGTCTGCCTCATAGGAATCAGCCTTGGGCTGTTGTTGATCATGATCTCTCTCCCCACCTTGTGAATTAGAGGAGGTCACATGCTGCCCTTACTCTTTTTTTTTTTTTTTTAACATTATCCTAGCAAAATAACTGGACAGGTTGCCTGAGATCTATGTAAAAATAGGTTTTTGCAGCATTGTTTAAGTATTTCCAATTATTTCAACTATGGTATACACATTTGGAATGGTTTAATAGATTATAGCTCATCAGTTTTTTTTTTTTTTTAATTTTTATTGTGATTTGGGTGAAAGTTTACAGAGCAAATTCATTTTCCATACAGCAGTTCAAGTACACTTTGTCCCATGACATTGACTGCAACTTCCCACAATGCAACAGCTCTCTCTCTTCCCACTTCCTCCCCATAGTTACCTCTTCCCTGTGTCTTTCTCTCCCATGTACTCCTGCCCTCTGAGCTGTCTCCTTGTGCATCCACAGCCCTTCTATTGGTCCATGATTGATCTCTCCAAGGAGTGTATCTACCTCAGGTAAATGTTCAGCTCATATGCCTGTCTTTTGTTTGGCTGGAAGCCACAGGAGTGGGTTTAATTCTAGACCTGAAGGGCAGCTAGAGGCCATAGTCTGAAGTGTTTCACCAGGCTCTATCAGACCAGCAAACCTGGTCCTTTTTTTTAAATGATTTTGAGTTTTGTTCCACGTTATTCTCCCACTCTATCCAGGATCTCCTACATAGATCTCCCTCTGTGTGGTTGATAGTGGTAGCCGGGTACCCTCTAGTCTTCTGGTCTCAGTCATATAGGCTGCGGATCGCATGGTGTACCAGTCCCTTGGACTAATTATTTCCGTGAATCTTTGGTTTTCTTCATTCTTCTTTTTCTTTTATGCACTTTATTTAAATATAATTTATGTACAGTGAAATACACAAAACTAAAGTGACATGGGTCAATGCATTTTTTTTTTTTCAGTGTTCCTGCTCCTCCCCTCCCATCCCTGGCAACCAACAAAGAAAGTTTCCCTCCATATATAAACCTTTCCTTGACCTTCCACAACAATGAACTAATACTATATTTGTCATTCTGTGATTAACTTATTTTACTCAGCATAATGACCTCCAAGTTCATCCAGATGAACTGCAGTGTTTTGCAGACTATACATTATTCCTTAGTGCTGCATAGCATTCCATTATGTGTATGTACCATAGTTTGGTCATCCACTCTTCCACTGATGGGCATGTAGGTTGTTGCCATCTTTTTTGCTATTGTAAATAGTGCTGCAATGAACATGAGTGTACATATATCTGTTCCTGTCCTGGCTCTTACTTCTCTAGGCTATATACCTACTAATGGAATTGCTGGGTCAAATGGTATCTCCAATTCCAGCTTTCTAAGGAATCACCATATTGCTTTCCACAGTGGTTGTATCATTTCATAGTCCTACCAGCAGTGTATGAGAGTCCCAATCTCTCCACATTCCCGCCAGCATTTGTTATTTTCTGTCATCAGTGCTGGGGTTAGATGGTACCTTATTGTTGTTTAGATTTACATCTCTCTAATGGCCAATGATTGTGAGCATCTCTTCATGTATTAGCTGGCCACCTGAATATCTTCCTTGGTAAAGTGTCTATTCATGTCTTCTGCACATTTTTCAGTTGGATTGTTAATTCCCATTCTTCTTTGCTCTGGACGAAGAGAGACCCATCATTGCATTTAGATAGCTGCTTACAAGCTTTTAAAATCCCAGTTGCTACTCGCCAAAGTAGGATATGGAACAATGTTTTTGTGTAGTATGTTATGCCAATTGATAGCTCATCAGTTTTATGTAACATACACAACCAAGAATGGGATGAAATAGATGATGATAGTAATAGTAACAGCTGATATTTGCTAGGCACTAAGTTCTTGGCATATATTTACTCATTTAATTCCTACAAGGATGCTGATTTAAGTACTATTACAAAGTATTAAAAGGAGTTCTAGTGACACTGTGGTTAAGACATTGGGCTGCTAACCAAAATGTTGGCCCTTTGAACCCACCAGCTGCTCCCAGGAGAAAGATGAGGCACTCTGCTTCTGTAGAAATTTACAGCCTTGGAAACCCAATGCAGCTTGCTATGAGTCAGTTGACTTGAAGGCAGTGGGTTTGGTTTTTTGGTTTTCTAAAGTATTAAAAAGCAAAGATGTTACTATAAGGAGTAAAGTGCACTTGATCCAAGCCATGGTATTTTCAGTCACAGCATAGTGGCTAAGGCACTTGACTGCTAACCAGAAGGCTGGCGGTTCAAACCCACCAGCCACTCCTCAGAAGGAAGGTTGGGCAATCCTACTTCCGTAGTGATACTGCCTCGGAAACCCAAGGAGGGGTCGCTATGAGTCGGGGCCGACTCGATGGCAAACAACAACAATAACAACAACAACAACAACAACATGCATGTGAAAGCTGGACAGTGAATAAAGAATGAAGAATGGATGCCTTTGAATTGTGGTCTTGGCAAAGAATATTGAATATGCCACGAACTGCCAGAAGAACAAACAAATCCATCTTGGAAGAAGTACAGCTAGAATGCTCCTTAAAAGCAAGGATGGAGAGACTTCGTGTCACATACTTGGGCCATTTTATCAGGAGGGACCTGTCCTTGGAGAAGGACATCATGATTGGCACAGTAGAGGATCAGTGAAAAAGAGGAAGACCCTCGAGGAGATGGGTCGACACAGTGGCTGCAGCAATGGGCTCAAACATAGCAACGGTTGCGGGGATGGCACAGGACCAGGCAATGTTGTGTTCTGTGGTAGGTAGGGTCGTTAGGTAACGTAAAGGTGAGACATTTGTCCAGGGTCACTCAAAACCAAACTCATTGCCACTGAGTTGATTCCAAGTCGTAGCAACTCCCATTGGGTTTCCAAGGCTGTAAATCTTTATGGAAACAGACTGCCTCATCTTTCTTCCATGAAGTGGCTGGTGGGTTCAAACCACCAACGTTTTATTTAGCAGCCAGATGCTTTAATCACTGTACCACCAGAGTGCCTAAGACTATGGCTAGAAGGGCCATATTATGTAATTCTCTGCACTGCAGCTCTTAACCTTGACACTGAATGCTACTGCGATTGTGATATGGCTTGTTACTTGAGAGCACAGGGAACTAACTTCATCCCACCACCAGAAGGTTACTGAAGGCCAATTAGGTCAGCAAGCATTCACAAAATAGTGGTATCACCCCGTGAGAGAGGGAGATAGCAGTATCAAACACTGTCGGAATGGCATTTGGCACTTCAGTCACATTGTAAAATATGTGTATGCCATGTTTATTGTATAAGATATTTTTATTTTATTTTCCTTTAATTAACTTATTTGGTAGCACTTTTGTTATGATTGTGGAATGGGAGTCCCCAGGTGGTGTAAATGATTAAGTGCTGGGCTGGTAACCAAAAGGTTGGAGGTTCTAGACCACCCAGGGGCAGGCACCTCAGAGAAAGCCCTGACAATCTGCCTCTAAAAAACTACCCATTGAAAACCCTGGGGAGCACATTTCAGTGACGCACAGGGAGTTGCTGTCAGTTGGAATCAGTTCTGCGGCACTGGTTTTGCTCTTTGAAGGGGAAAGGGAAGAACTCTACTAAAAGTTAACTCCTGGTTCCCACAACCCCTCTCCACCTTCTCAGTGCTGTCCTCCTTGCAGGGGACATTGGTTACAAGATTGAGATTGTGTCTTTGATGTTGTAGGAAGCAGTGACATTCAAAGACGTGGCTGTGGTCTTCTCTGAGGAGGAGCTGGGGCTGCTAGACTCTGCCCAGAGGATGCTGTACCGCGACGTCATGCTGGAGAACTTCAGGAACCTGGTCTCTGTGGGTGAGGACAGGCACCCTCTGTACCTGACCATTAGCCCCTGGTTTCTTAGCAATAAGGAGCTCTGGTGGTGCACTGCCAAAGGCATTTGACTGCTAACCAGAAGGTTGGTGGTTCAAACCTACCAGCCACTCCACAGAGGGAAGATGGGGCAATCTACGTCTGTAAAGATTTACCACCTTGGAAACCCAATGGAGGTTCCTATGAGTCAGAATTGACTTGATGGCAGTGGGTTTGGTTTTTTGGTTTTCTTAGCCATAGCAGTGATGACATTTTGGGCCAGGTAACTCTGTTACAGGGGGCCACCCTCTGCATTGTAGGATATTAGCAGCATCCAAGGCCTCCACTCATTTAGAGGCTCTGGGAGACATAGAGACGCAAGTGTGCCAATCCCTTTGGAGCCTAAAGATAAGACATTTCTGGTCTTTGTTCCAAGGTAACCATTTATATTTCATAAATGAACTGTAAATGAGCAGCTAAGCCTGGCTCTTCCTTATCTCACGGTAGCCTTCAAAAAACGGTGAGTCATGATCCAGTAACAGGTCGTGAAACTTTTTAGGTACGTTGGGTCAGCATTTTTGTGAAAAAATAGAATAGAGTAGCAATATCAGAGCTCCTTGGCCAGAAGGGTACACATTGTAGCAAAAATGGTCAAAAAAAGGAGTATGAATCTCTGGAAGGATGTGATGAGAGCGAAAAAAAAAAACACAACTGATTAGAAACAGTTCATTTAAGTCTTTTATTTAAGTCATTTACATATTTGTATGCGTGTGTACTGGCTCATGACATTAAATGTATTTCTTACAATGGGTCAGACTTTTTAAAAGTTTGAAAAACTTTTTGGTGGAGAAAAACTTTAGATTTTTATGGGACTGGCAGCAAATCTTTCAGATATCTTTGCCATTAATGTTTTCATTTAAACAAATCTTGTGTGTTCACAGGACATCAGCCCTTCAAGCCAGATGTGATATCACAGTTGGAGAGGGAGGAGAAGTTGTGGATGAAGGCGTTCCAGACCCACGGAAGCAGGCATTCAGGTGAGGACGGCGAGGCCTTGGAGGGAAGGGCCCCGTATTCTGCCTTCATTCTGGAGAGGCTCGCCACACAGCTACCAGGGATCCTGTGGAAATGTCAGTATCCTCACGTCTCCTTTGCTTCAGACCCTCCACTGGCTTCCCACTAGACTGTAAAACCCTGCCAGGCGCTAAAACCTCTGCTCACTCGCCTTGCTTTGTTGTCGTTTGCTGTTGAGTCGATTCCGACTCTTGATGACCCATGTGTTACAGAGTAGAACCGCTTCACAGGGTTTTCTTGGCTGTAGTCTCAATGGAAGCAGATTGACAAGCTGTTTCTCGGTACCGCTGAGTGGGTTCGAACCGCCAACTTTCAGGTTAGCAGTTGAGTGCAAACCATTTGTGCCACCCAGGGACTTGACTTCACTTGATCATTTTATTGTTGGGGTTGCTTTGTTTTGTTTTGATGTTTAGTTTTATTTTTGGTGAAAATAGAGCAAAGCCCGTGTCCATTCTACAATTTGTAGATATAACAATCCGTGACGTTGGTTACGTTCTTCACGTTGTGTCAAAAAAACCAAAAACCAAACTCCCTGCCATTGAGTCGGATCCGACTCACAGTGACCCCTCCTTGGGTTTCTGAGACGGTATCACTATGGAAGCAGATTGCACAGTCTTCCTTCCAAGGAGTGGCTGGTGGGCATGAACCGCCCGCCTTCTCATTTCTGTTCTAGTTGTTTCACTTCCATTTACTTAAAACTCCTTGCCCCCTAATCTTACCATTTATGCTTTAAAATACTTTGGTCTCATATAGATAATTGTTTTGTTTTTTAAAAGTAATACTCAGGGGTGACAATCTTTAATCTTTAAAAGACTAAACTATTACTTAGGTTAAAGGTGACTTCAGGGGATAGTTTCAATTCAAGGTTTGATCTCAAGGCCATAATCCTGAGGGCTCCTCCAGCCTCAACAGGTCTAATAAGTCTGGATTCTTTAAGAATTTGAAGTTCGGGTCCACATTTTCTCCCTTTTTTTAAATCAATATTCATCTCTTGTATCCCCCCTGATCAGAACGTTCAGTGGTAGCTGGGCACTCTCTAGTTCTTCTGGTCTTAAGGTGGAGGAGGCTGTGGTTCATAGAGATAGTTAGTCCTGTAATCCAGTCCTTCTCTGATCCTTAGGTTTCCTTCTTTTTTGTTCCAGATGAGCAAAGACCTATAGTCCTATCTTAGATGACTGCTCATAAGCTTTTAAGACCCCTGACACTACTCACCCTACTAGGAGGTAGAGCATAAACTTTAAGAACTGTATTATGCCAGTTGCCTGGATTATCCCATAAGACCACAGCCCTAAGCCCTCAAACCAAGAGAACTGATCCCTGGAGGTGATTGGTTATATCCAGTTAGTATCAGCATCTGTAGAAGCTCTGGTAGCATAGTGCCTAAGGCACTTGACTGCTAACCAGAAGGCTGGCGGTTCAAACCCACCAGCCACTCCTCGGAAGGAAGGTTGGGCATTCCTACTTTCGTAGTGATACTGCCTCGGAAACCCAAGGAGGGGTCGCTATGAGTCGGGGCCGACTCGATGGCAAATAACAACAACAACAACAACATCAGCATCTGTAGCCCCCACCCCCTTTTTTTGGTTGTTGTTGTTGCAAAACTGTACACAACCTAGCATTAGTCCAGTCATCCCTTTGCCCATGTACAGCTTATTGACGTCAGCTACAGTCGTGCTGTACAAGCTTCACCCACATTTGGTGCCATCTTTCCCATTTGTACAAGGAAATGTGACTGCTACCCAGGGAGTACTTCTCCCTCTTCCCACCCCCTTCCCACCCCTGGTCCCTACTAATGAACATCAGTTTCCATGCATTTACATATTCATGTCATTTCATAAAAATGAGAGCATACAATGTTTGTCTTTTTATGATTGACTTACTTATTTCACTCCAGGTTCACCCACACTGTAAGATGTTTTGGGAACTCATTTTTCTGTGCCTGCTGAGTAGTATTCCCTTGTGCGTGTGCACCACAATTTACTTACCCATTCATCTGTTGATGAGCACTTAGGTTGTCTCCATCTCTTTGCCGTTGTGCATAGTGCTACGATGAACATGGGTGTGCATATGCCTATTCGTGTCATTTCTGTTAGATCCCTGGGGTGTGTGCCTAGGAGTGGAATTGCTGAGTCGTCTGGCAGCTCTCCTGCTAGTCATTTGAGGAGCTGCTAGACTGTTTTCCACAACAGCTGTACCATTTTGCATTTTCACAGCAGTGGATGAGGGTTCTAATTTCCCCACATCCCCTCCAACACTTGATATTTTCTGTTTTGTTTTATTTTAATCTTAAGTATCCTCAAACCAAAACCAAACTTACTGCCATTAAGTCACTTCCAACTCATAGCAACCCCATTGGGTTTCTAAGGCTGTAAATCTTTACAGAAGCAGACTGCCCCATCTTTCTTCCATGGAGCGGCAGGTGGGTTCAAACCACCGACCATTTGGTTAGCAGCCAAATGCCTTAGCCACTACACCATCAGAGCTTCTTTAGGTATCCTCATTCACTGCTGTCGAGTCAGGTCCGACTTACAGCGACCCCTCCTTGGGTTTCCGAGGCGGTATCACTATGGCAGTAGATTGCCCAGTCTTCCTTCTGAGGAGTGGCTGGTGGGTTTGAACCGCCAGCCTTCTGGTTAGCAGTCAAATGTCTTAGGCACTACGCCACCAGAGCTCCTAGTAAACCCCAGAGTTTGTATTTTACCCATTTTTTCCATTAATACTCATTCTCCTCTAGAGTCCAGTCCAGGGTACCACAAAGCCTTTAGTTCTTATGTCTCCCCAAATCCCTCATGATCTGTGACAGCTTTTCTTTCTTCCCTCATTTGCATGACATTGACAATCTTGAGATAGTTCATCCATTTTTAAGTGTACAGTTTGATGAGTTGACAAATGTATCCAGTCATGTAACTAGTATCGCAGTCAAGATGAAGAACATTGCTACCACCCAACAGAGTTCACTCATGTCCATTTGCACTGTCCCTTCCCCTCGCCCTTGATGCAACCACTGTTCTGCTTTTTGTCACTATTTTCTAGAAATTTGTACAACTAGACTCATGCAGTGTTATGCATTGAATTGTGTCACCACCCAGATATATGTTGGAGCCCTGACTTCTGAACCTGTATATATAATTCTATTTGGAAATAGGGTTTTCTTTGTTATGTTATGAGGCCATATCACTGTAGGGTATGTCTTAAAACTAATTGTTTCTGAGTTTTAAGAAGCAGCATAGACACAGACTAGTGAGCACAAAGTGGGAGGAGACATGCCACGTGAAGTTTGCCAAGGAACCGAGGGGTAGAAGCTGAAAGAGACAAGGATCTTCCCCCCAGACTACCAGAGAGCAAGCAAGCCTTCCCCTAGAGCCAGTGCCTTGAATTAGACCCAGACTCCCAACTGGGAGAAAATCAATCTGTTCTTTAAAGCCACCAGCTTGTGGTATTTTCCCATTATAGCTCTGGTAGCATAGTGCCTAAGGCACTTGACTGCTAACTAGAAGACTGGCACAAGCACTTGACTGCTAACCAGAAGGCTAGCGGTTCAA